CCCCCCCCCATCTTCTTCATCTAGTTTTCAGCAGGGATCAAAACAGACATTGTTTTTATGTATTCCAGCCAGGCTGAGCAGGCTCAACAGGATACACTTAAACATCAAAGCTGAAACTGAATTCTCATTTCATTCCTGAGAGTAATTCTAAAAATGGAGGGAACCTAAGGGACAGTAAACATTTGACTGATGATTCAGTACTTGGGAGAGACCAGTCTTCTTCAAACAGACTAATGATAGGGAGTCGAAGGGGTTTGCTCCAAAGAACAGTCTACAGGATGACTGGCAGATGCAAAAGGTGTTTGATCATTGCTGGTTTGTTCAGTATTTGAAATGATTAATTCCTTATGACAAGTATTTTATCCATTCCTCTATTCTTGCACTGATTCCCATTCACTCTCCTACCAATTAAAGGGTTTATGGAAGTAATTGCTAGCTGCTAATTTTTGTCCACACTGTACTGAAATACAGCACAGTGTTTGCAACTTAAAACTTCCCAAATTTTAAAACAGATTGGTAACCCTGTTTGTTTTGTTTTTTTTTAATCTGCTGGAACCTCGTGTATAGCAATGAAAAAATTCTCTGCTTTGGAGGTTACACTAGGCTTGTGCATGAATTGAGATGTATCTCATGCTCCTCATCATGAATTCATGCCTGCTTCTGTCAGTCTGTTGGGAGACCTGTGCATGACACGCAATCAGAGCTGAACTCCGTGACTGGGATGAGATCAAACCTTGCAACATGGCTGTACCGTAATACAAAACACTGGTACCAATATCAGAAGGCTGTTAACTTATATGTAAAACCAGTATCTGCTACTAAAACATTAGTTAACTACCTAAAACATTAGTACATACTCTGTAGAAGGGCTCACAGCATCATGCCTCAAATAATCTAGTTACATCCAAGGAGACTTCTTCTGCGTTGTCCACTGCATTCCTGATACTGTAGCACCAGTTCTGCAGAAGCATTTAGAATTATTGCCTACAACCCACTCACCAGAAGTTTCCTGGCCATTTCTCTCGAATCCCACATTAAAAAGATGTGACCTAATGAAGGAATTCAAGTTCTGGCTTATTCAGATTTATCTCCGCACTCCCAACGAAACCATTAAAACTCTGTAGAAAGCAGACAGGGGTGGGAGTGGAAACCAGATGTTTCTGCTAGCCAAAGAAAGGTGCTGTGAAGTACAAAATGTTCTAAACTATCTTTATCTAGGTTTATAAACTAAAATTAATAAAGATGAGGAATTGATATATAGAGTAACTTGAAAAAAGAACCTCCAAGAAAAAGCTGTTATTTCCACAGGATTCTGCCAGGATGCTAAAGCACATGGCCCAGATGCACCGAGGAATACCCACTGTACCAAGCTTCTTTGCTTACTGCCAGAACACATATTCAGCCCATTTTTCCACTTATTCTGTTCTGGGGCTTCTACCTGTTCCATACTTTTGGGAAACAAAGACACAGAATGTTAAGACGTATCAACACATGTGGAGAATTAACTCTTTTGCTTTTTTTCCTGATTAGCGTCCAACCCCTACACAATTCAGAAGGCACGTGAAGAAAACTGCACAATCCAGTTGCACATTTTGCTTTGCATGCTTTGGATGTATAACTTCTCTTGGAAATGAGGATGCTTTGCTTATCCTGCACTTTGGATCCTTGTGAAGTGCCTTCTCTGTAACACTACAGTTGGACAGGAGTGAAGTCTCTACTCCACTGTGTTATCTTTTGGCCCACATACGTGCCTCTAGATTTTTGCATTTTTCCTGAATAAAACAAAGGAAGAGGCAATAAATATCTGCCTAAAAAGGAATTCTCCCTAGGATTACAGCTACTATAAGCAGAGCTAATTTTGCAATAGAGAGATCAATGCAACATTCATGCAAGTGTTTAATATGAATAGAAGTCATGTTATATAGCTTTGGAAATGAAGAGTCTTGGGCTTGGCTCCATTTCTTCTCCTTATTAAACCACAGTTACTCTATTGATTTCTGTATTGTTTCAACAATATAGAGCCCTGTGTCAATATAACTGAAAGGAGGGAACAACAATCCAGATTTAAAAGTTTTAGTCTAGCTTTGATATAAACAAAATCTGCACAAGCCTTATGTAAAGATTTCACAAAGTCAGGCTCCTCATGGGTAAGTAGCTACACAAAAGAGAAGAAATACAATAAGAATTTCATTAGTGATAGGGATCTGACACAATATTTCGGATCAAAAGCTTAAGATCATGAAGCAATTTCTGAACAAGAAAGAAACCTTTAGCAATGCTATTACAGACTGGACTTAAGTCAAACAGCAATGGGCTGTGTGTTTTGTGCCTAATCAGTTTTCTGCAATGGGGAAAAAAGAAGATTTATTTGTTGCAGATAACAACTTTTAAGTTAAGCAACAACTGATTGTTGGTCTTCTATTTAGAAAGGCTTTACAGCTACCATGGGAGATGATTGTGCATTTATTGCCCATGCCTCATAGTGG